TATCAGACCGAACTGTTTCACTCGAATGTTTTGTCCTTAAGTAGACATCATTATATATGATTGAGAAGCATGTATTTAGATCTACATTTTTTATACTAAATATATAAGAATATATACAAGATCAGTGGCGTCACATAGAAGTACAAAATACTAAGAAAGTCATGGGTAAATCTGTGTATGATCGAGATACTGATCAAAATTTGGTTGTTCGATTCAATATGTTCATCTAAATTCGTGTTGTTTAGAATTGTTAAAAGTCAATTTTTAATATTTAAGGTAAGTCTTTTCAAAACTTAGTCAAGATCGATCATCTGATGACTTCTCATTCACTGTCGAAATAAATATATGAGATTATTTTCAAACATTTGAGCATTACAATGTTAGCAGAAAATGAAACAATTTTTCTCAAAATATATCAAGGGGGCCCCCTCAGGAACCAACTTTGTTATTTTTCATCCGATTTCAACCAAAGTTTCAGAGGGTGTTAGTCTAGGCTAGGAGAAATTATGGTTAAAATATCTCTCCCAAACCTCCAATAAACTAATGAGTTATAGTCAATTTATTGGTCAAAAGTACCCTGTACGCGGGCAAGCATTTCACAATAAGGATGCGAGCTACCAAGCCTGGGCGGTTTTCAAGTTGTAGAGTATCCTTAGGACTAGATCCTCCCGGGGCCCGATTTTTGAATTTCCCTTTGTTTATTTTTTAAAATCCTTTTTCGTAAAATTCACGAAATCATGCCCAAAAAACTGTTACTAAAAAATAAAATATCTAAGATTTTTATTTCACCAAAAGAGGAATTCAAAAATCGGATCCTGGGAGTATCTAGCCCTACCTGTCTACTATGCATTAAAAAAATCATCACTTCTATATTGAGTCATTAAGAAGAAAACTTTGCCTGAGTAAACGGTATGCTCGAAAAAATTGATTTTGAGAAAAACGTAAAACAAGGTTTTTTGATGCAGTAAGTGCCTCTATTCAAAATAAATCTGCTTATCTACCTAATATTTTTGCACTATTCCTCAAGCTTTATGGATGGTGTGTACGTGGATATATCATAATACGCTTAGAGGTACATATCATGCCTGAATTGTGGTCATGGTTCCTTATACATAAATGTTACTGCATGCCACACAAGTTTTTATCAACTTTTTCGTTAATGATATTTTCATTCTTTTGTTCGACCGAGAGAGCTGAAATTTTTATGATATATATAACTAATCAAGATCTATTAGTTCTGAAAGTTTCAGCTGTATAACTATGACTAATGGTAAAATACATAAGTTTTCGTANTTGTATATGCCATCAATAAAGATTGAGAAATAGTGCGAAGTATTAGATATATAAGCAGATTTATTTCGAATAGAGATACTTACTGCAACAAAAAACTTTGTTCTTAGTTTTTCTCAAAATCAATTTTTTCGAATATACCGTTTACGTGGGCAAGGATTTCACAATAAGGATGCGAGCTACCAAGCCCGGACGGTTTTCAAGTTGTAGAGTCTCTTAGGACTAGATTCTCTCAGGGCTCGATTTTTGAATTTCCCTTTATTTGTTTTTTAAAAACTCTTTTTTGTAGAATTCACGAAATCATGCCCAAAAAAATGCTACTAAAAAATAGAATGTCTCAGGTTTTTATTTCACCCAAAGAGGAAT